AAATACTATCTTTGGGCGAGTCAGCATGGACGCAGTTCATATTAAAGCTGGTAGCTGGAAATACCTCCTCGTTGCACGTGATCAACGGTGGGCCGCTACGCTACACTACGCTAAATGGCCCACTAACGTTAGCGTAGCGGCCCTCAGAACAGCACGCCAAACCTGTAGTGTTAGCGCGCTGTTAGTGCCACTACGCTACGCTACGCTGTGCTACAGCGCTTTTAGCGGCAAAAACGGCCAAAAAACCACTAAAATGTGCTGTAGCGCAGCGTAGTGGGCCCTTTTTTGCGGCCCACACGCGTAGCGTTAGCGCAGATACAGAAATCTGCGCTAACACTACGCTACAATGTAGCGTATTTGCGCTACACTACGCTAGGCTAACACTACCGTTAGCGTAGCTGGCCCAGCGTTGACGTGATGACCTGTCCGGGTGGGTCGAAGCAGTAGGCCTTGAAAAACTTACGGCCGCCAAAGTTGCTTCTTGGTTCAAAGAAAACTGGATCTTACGCTATGGCGCCCAATGTGTAGTCGCCTTGGATGGAGGCCCTGAATTTGGAAAAGACGTCCAAGAGACCATAGCCCGTGGTGGATCCAAAGTTAAAATAAACACCCCTTACTATCCAGAAGCCAAAGGTATGGTAGAACACAGTCACCAGCCACTTAAAGATGCACTAGTCAAGATGTGCAGAACAAACGGGAAGAAATGGCAAAGTTTTTTGCCACTTGTTTTATTTGCAGATAGGGTTTCAACCAAGCGTACAACTGGCTACACGCCTTACGAGCTAGTATTTGGACAGCCAGCAGTTCTACCTATTGATCTTGAAATGCAAACAGACTGGGACGAAGTAACAAGTACGGCGGAACTCTTGTCAGCACGGGCCACTCAACTGGAAAGACGGGAAGAAACTCTTCAAAAGGCTTACAAGAAATTGAAAGAGACACGTGAGAAATCTGTGGAATCCTGGAACAAACAAAAAGCGGACCAGGGACCCATTAGTCCTGGTAAGTTAGTATTAGTCTACAATAGATCCCTCAAAAGCCAGTGGGGAAAGCTTTTTGAAAATCGCTGGAACGGCCCTTACCGGGTGATATCTCAAGAAAAATCCGGCTCTTACGTCCTCAAAGAACTAGATGGGACCCCATTAAACCAACGGTACACAGCACCGCAGGTGAAAATATTTCATCAGTGTTGCTGAAATTATCCCACCCTAAATAAACACACTGTAAATTATAACATGCTCCAACTGCTGTCTGTCATTACTTCATAAGCTAAAAATTTACAACAAAAAAAAAGAAAGAAGTCAGGGTGGTTAGCCCAAATTTTAAAAATTTCTCTATCTATAGTTATCTTGGTAAAACTTCTCTACTCACACCCTATATATGAATCAACTCAACACGGGAGGTGTTATTCAAGATATTGTCCAGCTCCTCCAAGACAGAGTCCATAAGTTTTTTGGACATCCAATATGTTTCCACTGGTCCAGCGGCAGCGCGAGCATGACGGGATTGACCATGCAAAAATCTTTGGGAGTTGTGTCGGATATGGTTAAGGAACCATCTGCTGATGCGGTCTCGAGCGCTGTGGTAATTATTCCTGTGTTTCTATGCCAAAAATATAAAAATTTATTATTGTCTTTCTAAATATTGAAGATAGGGTAAAAATAACATCAAAAATGGATTCCTGAGGTAAAATAACCCCTAGTCACTCACTACAACTACCCTCTTATCTCTACTAGTTCAGAAGTTACACTTATCTCAACCTATCACAGGATATCTCTTGGCTTAATTACTCTGACTACGTCTCATTTTGAATACTGGATGCATATTTCATATTGAATTCCTTTGTTTCATATTGAATTCCTTTACTGGCTTATATTTCATATTGAATTCCTTTGTAGGTGCACATGCATTCCTTTGTAGTAGGACCTTGTAGGCTAGCCAAAATCCCTCAAGGCAGTGCTCTCACCAGCCAAATTCCCTCACCTGCATGTATTAGACTAGCTACATTCCCTCATTGGATTTTCAGGCCAGCAAAATTCCCTCACCTGCATGTACCCTGGAGCTAAAATCCCTCACTTTTGTCTATATAAGGAGGCCTCTGCCTGCCAGTTGTACCTTTCATCATCCCACCAGTGGACCAGATCATCTCAACCACCCTTACAATCACCACCCATTATATTACCAGTCACAGTCATATAACCACCCTTATTTTATCGCAATATATTCATAACTCTTTCATATCATCATCATCATACCAAGTGCCCAGTCCCCTGTTCCATTCCTGGTTGAAGCATAGTGCTCCCAGCACCCAGCGCCTTGGTTCCAAATCACCTCTTTTTAACTTTATATACCCTCAACCTCAAGGACCTGCGTTCAAGCCTCAACCTCGACAACAATCTTTGACACCTCTATCAACAGCTTCATCAACAACAACATCATCATCAACAATCACCATCAACACCTTTAACCGTTATACGAATCATTCGACAGCTTCATCTCGAACTATCCTCTATCACGATATATAAACTGCCAAGCTGAGCTTGGTGGTCTTGTTGTTCTGATAGCATAGAAGGGCAGAGCTTGCAACTCCACCATCCCCTTCTCCATTCAGCAAAAGGGTTTCACAACCACTTTTGAGTCTTACAGCGCGAATAACCTCCTCTTCATCAATAACGGTTGCTTGGAAAGGGATGATCTCGACGGGGTTGAATCTTGGGCTGTTTAGTCTTTCATAATCATTTATTCCATCATTATTCCTTCCGTCGGTATTGGCTTCTTTGTCTTCTATTTTGATTGGGTTCTCAGGAGAACCAAGGGGAAGCACCTCCAAGCAATATGCAGGAGGTGAGGCACTGGGGGCGTGCTTGATGGCGCTTGTTGTTTTGATTACAGGGTCAGCATCAGACCTAGCAATATTTGTTTTGTCATCAGAAGCAAGGGAACTGTTGTCGATGGAGTCTCCATCATTCAAGCGGGCGGTGTCTACATTGCTTAAAAGATTGGGATTTGCCGTAGAGATCAGATCGACTTTGCCAGGAGAAAACACACCGCCAGAAAACGTTGCACCAGGGATCCAATCGGTGTTGAAAGGCATTGTCAATGGATTTCCAGGTGATAGATTGATTAGACTGGGTTAATGAAAAAGAAACAAGGCTGATTGCCCCCTCCTTTTATGGCCTCAGCAAGAGTAGCTACGGTACCAAGCCACTCCCCTCCTTGGTTCTTTTTTTCCCTTACTTCTTTTGTTTCTTTCTCTTCTTTCTCCTTTTTGTTACCGTGTCCCTTGAAACGGCATTGAGCCCCATTTGGGGCTTGATAAAACAAAACGATTTTCAAAACGGAACGTACAGCTCCTTTCAAAAAAGGGTGTGTTTGGATACGGATACAGTATAAGGGAAGAACAAGCCCCAATTGGGGCTTGTTAAGAAAACAAATTAGGCTAAAAAGAAGACGGAACAACCCATGTTCATCAGGAAGCCGGTAGAGACGAAACAGCCGTCTTTTGCCCAACTCGGTCAATGAGCAGTTATCTCCGGCCGTTTACGTGGAGCTATTGGAACAGCTGTTCCCTTTCCGTTTGATTCCGTTCTGCCCTTCCCTTCTCTCCTTCTATCTCTTACAAAACAGGTCAACCACCGCCAAAGTTTGTTGACAAGGTAGCCTTCTCCGGCCGAGTCATACACCAGAACGGACTTTCCCCATCTGTTCATTGTATTGATTTTTTGTCGGGACCCCTCGGAATTGGAACAATCTTTCCCTCTGCCAGATCACGCTGAAAAAACCGGTCCGTTTTGGGCAGACTAGTTTGAAAAGAGCCGCCCCTGAAAGTGCCTTGACTGGAAAGGTTGATCATGACTTTCTCTTCTGTCGGTAGCCCCCCCTTTTTTTGGAATACTCTGAAACGAACAAGCCCCTTTCAGGAGGCTTGTTTTGACTGATGGCTGTCTCCGGCGGCGTCTCTTTTGAAGTTATCAGGATTGACTGTTCTGCGGAACTTGGTCGCTTGCCGTTGTCAAACCTCAAATCAAAAAAATAGAAACCTCCTTCATCCCAGAGGATTTCCACACCAACCTGATCCTTCAGTCAAGACTAAGACTCCAGCAGAAAACCAAGATAGACCAACAGTACTTGACTCAGGACAGAATGCAGCTCATCAATAGAATCATGCCCGCCGCTCAACAGACAACAAAGATCAACATAGCCAACCTGGCTGAAGGAACCAGTCTAGCTGATGCAATGACCTTCTTCAGCCAGTTTGGAAAAATTATGCGCTGCTCCCTAAAACAACACTACAACAGCCAGGATACATCAGTCTTGGCTACCGTTGAATTTTTGTCCTATATGTCCGCAGTCAGTGCAGTTGAGGAATTGGACGGTGCTACTGCCGACGGTCTCTGCCTCCACGTTAAGCTAGTTAGAGTAGTTAGGCCCCCTGCACACATCACTACCAAGGAGGACTCTACCAAGCAAGAAGACCCAGCGGAAAAAGGAAGCCCCCTCTTACACCAGATTTCTAAGCGTCCCAGAGCCTAAGACTTGCCTCCTCCTCTTTTTTGTTCCCTTCCTTTTTTATTTTTCCATATCATTTTGTTACATACTTCAAGTCTCCCGGAAAAATGAAAAATCACACAAAAAAAATTATCTGAATAAATTTTATCAAAATCAAAAGTAAAATCCGTAGAAGAAAGAAAGCTCTGCCAGCCTCTCAAGAAGACACAATGATGGGGACATCATCCAATTTGGGGGTGGATGTGGTGAGCCAAATCAAAACCTCAAGCCCTCATTGCACCGCATATTCAGGACAAAAAGACCCCAAACACCTTGGTCCTCAGGCTAGACAGAAACCTCAAGGCACCCAGACCATGCGTGGGGGGGAAGAAAGTCACCCCTCAGACAGAGCCAGGGTATTAGGAACCCTCCTTGTTTTCTCTTGTTTCATTCTTTCTCTTTCTGGAGCTGCTGCATATGCACTCTTCTTTCTCTTATCTCTCTGTTTCACACTAATGCACCCACTTGGAGATTAGTATATTACCTCTATGCATGTGGTTATGTGTGTTTCAGACTTATGTACCCATTTGGGCAAGCAGGCTATGTCATTGTGTACTCTTTGGTCTCAGCAGCCACCCTCTGGGCCGTAGTATTTCAGTTTGATATTTTTCACTTGTTCCTTTTCTCAAACCACAAGCCGGCCACTCCCCAGATTTTGTATATAAGGAGCCATGTTTTCTCCTCATCATTTGTTCCCTCATCAGTTCCCTGACGTGCTCAGCCTGGTCACATAGTTAGCTTATAGTCTTTAGTTATATAGTCCTTAGAAAAAGTCCTTGGAAATATTATCACATCCTTTAGTCAGATTTTAGTCCGCCACAGCTTCAGAGAGTATTTGAACTCTCCTTGTCTACTACCTTATCACCTTTTACTGGAGGGCAGCCTTATTCACGGCAAATTTACCCTTCCACACTCTATCTGATCCCACCGGGTAGTTCCACAGCAATTACTCTATTCTTGTTACACTTTGAATGATTTGTTGCAGTTATCTATCAAGCAAGCTAGGTTAAAATGATTCTGGATATATTTGCAATTGCAATCAAGGAAGTTATCATCTCTTTGCTCTAGCCAGGAAACTAAAAAGATCTAATGAAGTGTAGAAGTAAGATACAAGGTGAATGTTCAAAAACAATCCTAGTCTTTGATGAATTCTAACCAGTAACAACAAAAAAATATGTATGATCACATTAGATGATTGATCATATTTGTAGCATCCTTCAATCTTCTGGAAGCTGAATCAACATCTCTATCCAAGTCATCAAGGATTTCATTCTGTTCATCCAGTTCATTTCTTAATCATCCATCCACGTAATTTTTGTTTCAACAGTACAATTGTATTTTTTCAAGTGCTTAAGGTTGCAGGGGTTGTGTCAGATGAAAAGTTTGAGTGAATGGGACCAATGGAGGAATAATACAGCCTGTTGGTTGGTCCTTAGGAATGCTTCATCCAAAGCAGAAGGTAGAAGGTGTTACCAATAATAATAGTATCAGAACTAGATGTACAGATAGATTACAAACTTTAATCAAGACAATTCTTTGATTGGGATGGTGGCAGGAATGGATTGATGACATAATGGTTGCTATTCTTCTCCCATTTGAGCTGGCAAATTGATAGAATTTTTGGCCAGTAACTAGGTAGATGGATTTGAGAGATCAGAGAAAGAATAGAATCATACTAGTGGGTGACACTAGTTTTCTGGTCTGGAGGATTGGGTATTAGGCAGTCGTAGATTTTAATATCCACACTAGGATAGACAACTTGAGGCATCCTTTTGATCAAGTTCGTTGTTTGGCCTAATACCTTGGCGGTAAAGTTATAATTGACACGGATCATATCTGCATTGGCTGCAATAAGAACAAAGAAAATGATCAGCCAGCTAGATAGTAGGATATTCAATAGCAATAGATGATTGGACAGACTGGTTGTATGTTACTCCGGCCAATCTGTTGGGATCTGATATATTGACTTGAGTTTTGACAAGATCTGGCTTCAAGTTCCAAACAAGTTGGTTTGCTGAATCAGAGCAAGATAGATAATGTACGTTGATCAATGAATGGCTTGATGATTGACTGAAGTTTCTATTCATCTTCAGGTTGGTCTAGTAATTGATCATCTGGACTGTCGTTGTTGCTGTTTTTGGATGCAAAGGATGATGGATGGAAGAGAAGGTGTCAGCCTTAGAGCCAGCCAAGCTGGCCAAAAGACTGCCTAAGTCCCCCCTTTTCATCCATGTTCCAACTTTAACTTATTCAGCTTAAGATTTTATTACATTCTGACTTCAGAAATGAATTCCTCATTCAATTTCAACCATGGTCACCACTGACCAGTTTTACACTACTCTTCTCCTTCATTGACTTTGTAACATTTCACCATACCTTGTGAAATACCAACCAAATTGGAATTCCATCTCTCCCAACCACATGTACATGTAATGATTATGTCATCCAACTTTGAAAATCCTCTCTGAGCTTGTTGATTCCGCTTCCAGAGGATTTTCAGACTCCAGACCAACACAGAACCACAACAACCAGAACCAGATCAAGCAAACACTCATCAAACAGAAGTACCTTACTTTTCCTGCCTTTCCCACTACACAGTGTCATTGGTGTCATTAGTAAGTAACTTCTCATAAGTTTAGCTAGCATCTTTCTGCTTGTTTCTTTCTCTGTCTCTCTCACCTTTCTTTCTCCCTCTTCTCAACCAAAAATGAATCAAAGCCCTGAACTACTAAAGCACACCTAGCTTCTATTATCTCAACTCTTCCTGTTTGGTAGTACAACTGAAAACTACATAGGTTTCCCTTTAAAGAGCCTTGATCTTTGATCTAAAAAATTGTGGTTGACCTGATTCATCAGTGTCAATAACCCATTTCAGTTTCTGTTGATTTGGAGGCGTCAGAGTTAGCTCCGCTTATAAGTACAGCCATCCTACAAGGAAATTAAGATTGTCAGCAGCCATCCAAAAAGGGACAGTAGGACTGCCAGAACTTTAATCATCATCTTAAAATAAATAAAGAACAAAAAGATTCTTCATTTCTTTTCCTTCTCTTCTTTTCCTCTCTTCTACTTTTACTTGTATTTCCTTTATCTTGAGAAATACATTTAAAAGTGCCCCCCAAAACCTTGTGTCCTGCTGTCACTATTGAGACCCAGGCTCACAGAAGGGAAGATCAACATCAAAGCATCTTTGATTTGACGTTGTGGTGTGCTGTGCCTGTTCCAATGCCAAAGGCATACAGCAGAGGTGTTGGTGTACCATAGTTACATACATGTGACAATAATTACAAGAGAAGGAACAATCATTATGGATGAGGTGTGGTATATACGGATAGGAATACATACAAGGAGTGGATTGGGAGAAGGGTGTTGACAAACGCACGCTGTGGTCATTATTCCTGTGTATGAGGGAAGAAAATTTAAAATTTTATTATTTATCAAAAAAGGACTCAAGATATGGATGAAGGGACGTCAGAAATGGAATCTAAGGCCAATTTAACCGCTAGTCACTCACTGGAACCACCTTCATATCTCTACTGGATCAGAGGT